ATGAAGTTTCAAAATCTTATGATCTTGATTATAGACTAGAATTAGAGCCTCAATATATGAACCTCCAGAAAGACCTCATAGGAACTATAAGCTACCTATACAGTATCAGGGTTGTGAATTGGACTCTTCTTTGAAGTTTAGGACTTTTGGAACTAGTTCTGTGGTTAGTATCTATACCATATGTTTGAATATTGATAATTTGAATGCAAATGATGGACATTTGCTAGAAGATGGACATTAGTTAAGTTAGTTAGTTTAATTCTCTTAATCATTATCCTAGGTTGGCTAGATAATGAACCCTAAACCTGAAGTAGGGTAAGCCTAGATCCCCGTGGTACGATAAATCATTATTGCTTGCTTGCCCTATGCTACACCTGGTCGGCGGATATACTTGGTCGTTAATCGGGATGTTGTAATTGGAATGAGTTAGTACTCTCTTTACTGGAAAATTTGAATTGTTAGTTATCTAATTTCGTTTGCAAGCGAATCTATTTATATGCTCAATTTTTTGTTTAACCAAAAAACAGGAAGAATTCCTAGCCCTACCCTTTAGCACTATTAACCAAAAAGTTACGAAGTACTCGCCTTTTCTTATTCATCAAACCAACATACATCATGGTACAACCCACTGCCTTACATTCATCTTTGAAGATTTCCAATTCACACTCCAGTTCGTTCAATTCCTCTTTTAGAAATGTCTCCCTTAGCTCATGATATGAAACCCTTAAAATCAGGACCATGTCAAGCTACATCATGAAACATCTGATCAAATTTAGAGATTCACATGCATTAAATAGAACCGGTTTTTCATAAAGCCATGGTGATATTATCTTGCAAGACTTTAAGCATAAAATATGTGTTCAAAAGTGCACTAATTGTAGTTTGCTTATTAGTGCCACTACCAATAGTATAATCCTTTCGAAGTTCGATTCAATATTTGAGTGAACTTAGTCTTGCTTTTGAGCACCACTACCATTTACATTAAGTAGCTATAACATTGTGGACTTGACTTCATCCATAACACTAACACGAGCCCTCAACATCCTTCTTTGTTCCTGGCTTCCTGCAAGATGATGTTTAAAGCGAGATACCGTAACCAGCGGTTCGAGCAGATAAAACCTACTACTGGATGTTCAACTGGTAGGCGTATGAAACGGTTGAACCATTATTAAAAATGATTTTAATATAAAATACCCTATCGCTGACTTTTCCGGTTACAGCCTCCGACACGGTTTTACAATCCTTGCATACCGCACAATATACTTTAATCTCTAAATTGACTAATCATAATTAATTACGTGTCATTATCTTGATACTAGCTAATTGGCCCGCGCTACGCAGCGGGTTTTTACATGTTATATTAATGAACTTATTTGTTTTAATAATTATTAAGAAGTTCCTTAACTAAATTATCAATATGCGATTTCCCCGGTAATTGTTAAACTCTTCTTAACCCATATCCTGGCCATGTGGTTCAGGAAAAACATGTGCTACAACTACACAGATAGTTACAATTTTTTGAACTTGTTAGGAGACCAAATTACAATACACAACATTAATCACAACAGAGGTAAATTCTGGGTTCTCCATAATGTACTCCCGAAACTCCAACTGACCATAATGCAATATTAGACATGGGTTTGTATAACTGAATTCTGTATGACTAATTCACCTATGTCAACAAAGACATGAAATCTCGATGAGCTAATTGAAACTGTAAAATGCTCAAGTCCTTTATAATAAGATGAAACAAAAACAGTGATATCAACATGAAAAATTCACTACTTTTATATAAGAAAACAAAAATACATTACATTAATTCCCTATAAAAAACACTACATTCATATATTCATTTTAAAGAATCTACACCACATATTCCACATAATACGTAAAAACCCTACGCATGAATTATGTAGTTAAATAGGTAGATTGTGTCATTCATGTTTAAGAAGGGATCAGGATATATACGCAGTTCTTTTACATGTATCAAGTACAAATCATATTCTGAATACATAAAAATTATTAGAATTCATGCATTTACCCTTTCGTCCTTAATTAGCAGAAGGCTACAAACTATATAAAATCAAGCACAAAGAGATAATGTGAAGATTTGTATGAATTTATTCACCCATGCATTTCTTCTTACGGATTGTGTGTCTAACTCATGCATCATCATAAGAGCGAAAGATCCATCAAAATTCGATTAATTACTACGAAGATAATAAAAAAATTACAATGTGAGGAAGTATAAACATGCTAATGATTGAATCATTCACAGCAAAGCATGAAACAATGCAATGATGGAATAGGAAATATAAAAGAAGGAACACAATAATTATCTCTTTAAAAGAACAAGTTACAAGTTTACTGTTTCATAGAGTCACGTCTTAACACTGTTTTTCTTTGACACATTTTTACTGCGTTCTCGTCTGTAATCATTGCTTTCTCTCTCTTTCCTCTCTGCTTTTAGCCTGGGTTGCTTCGCCAGCGACTTCTCTTCTCTCTGCAACTTATCGGTTTTCGGAACTCCTCACCTTTCCCCTGAGAAATGACAGGTCTGGCGCTTCCTCATCTGTTCCTTTCCCCACAAAAGTCTTCTTTTGCTTTGCTACCTTTCATTTATGCTCCTCACAGACTTTCCCTCTTCTATCTTGCTTGCTCGCTTGCTTTCTTCTATTGCTCTTCCATGGTGACCCATAAATTGCTTCTTGACCTCAGCGACTCCGATGGCCTTCAGACTCTTCTGAAGCTGCGCCTCCTTCATGCGTGGGGGTCTTATGGGCTGAAGAATCCTACATTAATCTTCAACTACTGCACTCTGTGGAATGATGAGGAGGTCAGCGCTGCTTTCTTCTTTATTTTGGCATGCAATCTTGCGCCTCCCTTCTTTTTACAGCCCTCTGATCTTCGTTTCTTTTCTGGCCAGGGTACTTTGATTCAGGGCACGGCTCCTTCGGAACTCACGCGCCATTTCTCTCCGCTTCTGCAGTTGGGTAGCGTTTATTTCGTGAGCAACTTCCGCGTCAAGCCACCGGCCCCTTCGTATCGTTCTTGCTCTCATAAGTTGACCATCGTCCTCTCTGCTGCTACACAGTTCGAAGACGTGACCCGTTCGTCACCTTCATTCTGGCCAGATGCGTTCGAATTTACCCCGTTCAGCTCGCTTCATTCCCGCATACGTTCATCGGTCTATCTGACAGGTCTTGTCCTGTATTCTTTACGTCTCTTGCTGTCCGTTCTGCACTGTACTGCTTACCACCCTTTCCTTTCTTCTCTTGCTTGTGCCTCTGTCAGATGTCGTTGGCGCTGTTGTTAGCATCACAGGCGTTTCTAGCACTGTAACTTCATTCGGTACCACTGTGCGGAGTGATTTGGTGCTCCAGAATGAGAAGTATGTTACACATGCACACCACTGCTTTATCGACTGTGCTACATTTTACTTACTTCCGCTGTTTTTTTTGCCCAGTCACATGTTTCTTGATATCAGTCTGTGGAGTGATATAGCTCGGAATCTCAATGGTCAGGAACTGGCTGTCCTTGGTCGTTCTGGGCCAGTCATGCTTGCTGTTTGCTCACTGCGAGTCACTGGCGCTACGAAAGGTCTGCATGTACCTTACCGCTGCACTATTCTCCGTTTCATTTCCCTTCCTCCTTTCCTTATTACCTTCACCCCTTTTGTAGGAGGTTACTCTCTGACCAGTACTCCAGGCACACGTTGTGTTCTCAACCCTGTTTCTGAAATGGCTCACCTGGTCCAATCTGTGTATGTCTCTTCTTATCCTCCTCATATTTGTTTTTCCCTTCGCATCATCAGCTGTCTTTTTTGTTACTGCTAATTTGTTGCGTTCCTTGCTTTCGCTTCCGTTAGGTTCTTTGCCAGCACTAATACATGTCAATATTACCCTCCGAGGTTTGCAACTCCTACTGAGGCAGCGGCCTTCGAAGCTGAATGTACGAAGACTGTGTCACAACTGCTTGCTTTGTGTTTTCCACCTGTTGCCGATGTATGTTTTTTCCCCTTTTGCTCTCCAACTTACCTGCTTTTGTTCCTTTCACTTCATTTGTTTGTCCGTCTAATCATTTCTTCCGTTTACTTTTTTTTTAGCCTACGCGTTACCATTGCTCTGGTCGGATCGTTTCGGTTGATTCTTCTATGCAGTGGTACTACTTGGGTTGTGCGCTTTGTTCCAAAGCAGCCATAGATTATGATGGTGTTGACAAATGGTGTGATGACCACCGTCGTTTGGTGCCTCAACAAACACAGAACTTGTAATTCCTTTCTTCATTCTTGCCCCCATACCTTTTGCCTATTTCTCGTGTCCTCATACGCTCCTGTACACGTTTTTTGCAGTTACAAACTTCGGGTAACAGTTGATGACAACACTGGATCAGCAGCTTTTGTTCTGCTGGGTAGGGCCGCTGACCTTCTTGTGGGCTTGACTGCTAACGATCTCTCTACTAGGTTTCCTTACCAGCGCAATGTTCTTCCACAAGAACTTCTGGCTCTTGAAGGACGAGACTTTACTTTTGACGTCCAGCTTCCAAAACCGGAATATGGGGCTCGTGGCCCGCCAGAGTTCACGGTCCTTGCTGTCAATGAGCAAGAACAGCCAAATTCCTGCTCACCAACTCTTAGTCGCCGGTCAAGAAATGCTATGCCCCATACACCACCTCCTAACAGGTTTTTCCCGTGTTCTCCAGTTTGTGGAACAGTCCCCTTTTGTTCATTACTAATCGCTACTTTCCGTTGCAGTCCTCACTTGATGCCTCTTACGTCTCCATATGTTGTTCCAACAATTCAGACCGCTTCGGTAGACCATGGTTCTTCTATTGCTTCACCAAGGTAATGCTTCAATTTTACATGTCCTCTTTTCGCTGGTTGTTGATTGTCTTGAACTCGGGTTCCTTCTTAAATTTGCAGTGGGAGTTCTCAGCTTGCATTTTCTACTCCTCCACGTCGCCCCTACAACAGGTCTTTTGTACAGCCCACTTTGCTTTACAAAATTAACAAGCTCTTCTTTGGACGCTGTCGAACTCTTTCCCTATGTGTTGACATTTCTTCTCCATGCGTTGTTTACCGTCACGTTCCAGTAGGCGCATCGCTGCTGTATCCTCACCCTCATCTGCTGCATTGGGAAGGTTGTCTGTTTGTTGTCTGCTTTGCTAGCTCAGTGCTGCTTATACACGTTCTGATGTCGTTTTCTGACATGTTTCTTTACAACAACAGTGTCGTAGCTCCTTCTCCTGAACTTGGTCGTACTGAGATTGTTTCCTATGCGCGGTCAGTTTCTTGCCTTTTCCTGTATTACCTCAAGCGTTCGACTTAACGCCTGCTTATATTTGTCAATGACTCTTGCACACCCGTTTTAACTGCTTCTTAGCCCTAGAAGTGAGGAAGTGCCCCCAGAAACTGCAACACAGCGATCCCCACAGTACCTTCTCTCCTGTTAACTTACTTACTAGCTTTACGTGTCTCTTTCTTTCCTTCCTGAGCATCTCTGTATCAGGGAACTTGCTTCGGACACTACAGATGCTACTGTGCAGAACAAGACCATTAGTTCGCAGAAAGCGAAGCCGAAGAAACCATCTGCTAAGAAGAAGTCTCTCTGCCCTTTATTACTTACTATGTTTCTTGTACCAAATTTACCATATCCTACATTAGGTCTTAGTTTCCTGTTTACCTTGCTTCTGTTTGCATGTTGCCAATTGACTTTGGTTTTTTTTGCACCCTTCGTTTCAAATGTGCCCGCCATTGTTATTTCGTTTGGTTGGTTGTTAACTGTGCATACGGCACTATTGTCTCTTGGAATTCTTTTACTTATCATAGTATCCTGCATTGTACTTCGGTTTACTGTCCTTACCTTATACAGCTTTGTTGGACTTTTGCAGGAAAACTGGAAGTCCAAGTGTTGCGCGTCGTCCTGCAGTTACTCTTGCAAAAACCGATGTTCCAATATCGTCCCTTGAGATCCCTACTGGACATCCTTTGCCAACCGAATCGGCGAATCCTGACTCTGGAAATCTTAATGGCCTCGGTGTCAATTTGCAGACAACAACACTTCAGCCTTTGTCACAGTATGTGTCGTTCTAATTATTCGCTTGCCAGTGTTGTCTGCTCCCTAGAATTCCAGTTTGCATGCTTTTGGTGCTCTTTTAAACCTGATAACAAAAGGGCTCCAGTCTGCACAGAATACTTATTTTGACGCAAAAAGAACTGCAACCAATGCTTTTCAATTACATTTGGTCTTCTGCTTTTATACATGGTTTTAAGTTGTCACCATAAAATACAATCGCCGATGGATGGCCTTTTGTATCCCTTTCTTCGCCTTTCGCTAACTTACACGTGTTCTCAATGTGCAGACATACAATGTTACCTTTCAGTGGCCATACTAATTATCTACGAATGTTCTCCCTTTTTTGTTTATACAGACCAAAATAAACAAATAGTTGTGGCTTCTGCTTACTTGGTCAGCTTCAAATCAATTGTTTTCCCACAGTTGAAGTAATAATCGTCTTTACTGTAGGGAGATTCCTTGTGCAGTGGGTTCTTTGTTGTTAGTCATTATCTTATTCGTGCTTTGCAAATAGCTTCTGGCTAGATAAAATATCTGTTATCTTATTCACCTGATTAGCAACGTCCAATTGCATAGGGACCAGATCATCCGTTTCTATATGGTCCCAAATTCTTACGGCAACTTCATATCGCAAATTTGAAACAAAGTCTCCCATGGAAAAGAATCTATAATAAAAATTAGTAGCAAAATTAGCAACTCTATCAACAAATGTTAGAGCTGTAAAACGAATCAACTAAATATGTAAACCCGAATGTGCACAAACAATAGCAACCCAATACATGAATGTGTCACTACAACCATACAAAGTTTCCTTAGAGTATCGAACTACAAAAAAACAAAATGTTCTGGATTATAAGATTGTATTAGGTCTGGAGAAACCTAATTTGAAGGCCAGCAAACGAATGTAATTGATAAATGTCTGGCAAAAAGTGGTAGAAGTTCTTGATGAGAGGAAAGGGGAGTTTTTGCCGAGGTAGGGTTTTAAAGATTACCTTGTAGAGATGCTGAGGTAGGACTAACGTCGATCAGGCAGAGAGAAGGCCTGGAAAATGATTGCATGCACTGGAATGGGTTCCCAGTTGCTTTGGTGGCCGGAGAGTGAGCAGAGCAGGAAAAAGCGTCAGGGGTAAAGGGAGGTGAAACGTCTCAGGATGAGTCTTTATGCGGTAAGATTGTCACACTTACCTCCTGGAAATGTAGAGATGCTACTAATAGCGGTCAGTCAGGCAGCCCTGGAACATGAATGCATGCAATAGCTTGGATGGCCTGTTTGTCTTTTCGCCGGCGAGTAAACAGTAACGCCGTTCTTCGGTGGCGCTGTTGAAGTCCGCGCGAGTGGTGACTGGACGCTAGGTTGTTCGACGAGGGAGAATGAGCGCAGCGTATTGGAAAGGTCGGGGTTTGCGGCGGGAACGGGAAGCAGGAGAAGCAGAAGATGGCGGGTTGGGGATGTGGATGGTCAGGTTTCTGTGGAGGGCCTGGAAGGTAGGTGAGAGCGATGGAGGAGGGAAAGGAAGAAGGGAGTTAAACCGTTTTCGGGTGGGTGGGAGGTTTTTATTGTTTTGCTTTCTTTTAGTTTTTATATTTGTTTAATCGAAACGTGGACATGACTGTCCATTTGGTTTGAATTTTTTGGGTTCTAACCAAACACAACTCGATTGGAAAGCAAATTCTCCGTTTGGCTTGTTTTAAACCAATAAACAACTTAATGGCTTTGGCTTGGTTAAACCGGAGAAACCAATAGAAACCATAATAATACATTATTCATCCGCAAGGTTGTTTTTTTTGCACACAAAAAAATGTTTTTCTTTTGCCACGCACACCAACCAATACATTGTGGTGCCTATACAGATATGTGCTTGTCAAGTCATAATAAATAAATGAACACCTAATTCTTCTTTTTTACTCAATGATGCGAGGTATTAATTGCCTAACAAATTCGCTACTTCAAAATGGTGTTCATTTATTTAGAAAAACAGCCAACCCTAGCGCTGTATTGTCAATTGATTCATGTTTATGAGGAAATGCCACACCTGATTTCAACTCCTCCTCACAACCAACAACCCGCTACTGAAAGGGATCGTCTTAAGCAACATAGTCCTGCGACTCATTTGGTAGTATATTAAATCAATTTGAAGGTTTACAACATCATACTAATTTGATTTGTGTATTTCACTTGCAGGAATACTCACCATTGAAGCACAAGTGCACATATTGATCGCTTGAGTTCCAAAAACCCTTTACTCTGAGAAAAACGTCATTGGGATGGATGTATTGCACTATCCCAATTAAATCTTTTCGTGTGTTAAATGTACATTACCGAAAGAGAATTCCCTGTTATTATAGTTTAATTGATCACTACAAAACAAATGTCAATGAATTGGTAAAAATGTGGCACAGCCCATTTCACTCTCCAACTGTTATTGCCGCCAATGTAATTGGAACAATTCAGTTTAGGATATGTGCTTTTGTCTGTATACTTTTCTAAGATAGATAGCTATATAAATGGACCCATTCTACATAACCAAGTGGAAAAACTATTTCACATGGGCCTGTTAGACATGACGGTCCATCTATAGCCCACAACAAGAACTCATATGTGAATGTTGTTTCCCCTAATCAACAGTGGAGGAGGTTTCGGCCCACATGGTTTTTGTTTGGTCCTTAGACACTGACAATCGTTTTTTACTCAGCCTGAACAACCACCTACTTCCTTTCGTGTATAAAGAGCCTGGAATTCTCATTCAATAAGTGCTATGCAAACTTCAGCTCGCCTGAACTTTATTTTCATCCTACGCTGCATCGTCAACTCGACGCAAACGGTTTGTACTTATATCTCTTTTACTTCCAGTTTTAGATGTCCTGCCAGAGTGCAGCTTGATTATAATGGGTCTCCAAAAAAGTAACACAAAGTGGTGACGCAGAGAGGGCTCTTCTTTTATGTGTTGTTTTACATAGCAGTTCAGTCGAGCTGACCTAATCAAATATAGAAACCGTCGACGCGGGCCTATGCAACACATCCTATGCATGTAATTACATCTGGCTCACTTTGTCATGTCAGGCCCACTTGTTTAAAGGGGCCCGGTACGGTTGCTCTTACCTTCTCTAGGGTATTCTCTGTCTTTAATCTTCCTTTCGCAAAGAATCGGCCGCCGCAGCGAACAGAGCTTCCAGTCATGGGCGAAACAATACAGATCAATCAGCTTGACATTGGCTACACGGACGAACTGCTTCAGCTTCGACATCTGCATACATGGCAGGAGCCGCTGTCGGGCCATGATAGAGATCATCATCTTCTACTCGATAAGCAGGTATTCCATTTGCACTTCTATTTATATCTATCGGAATCTATTTGTCCTTACAGTGCCTGATTTCTACATTATAACACATCCCAGGGAATATTGATTGTTGCGACGTCGGATCCTGTCGCACCCCAATTGGGTCAGCCAGTTTTTAGCCCGGGCAGAATTTACATGATATCTTCCTTCTTCGTTACCCCTGCAAGAATGATGGGCCGTTGTTGTTCACATAATTCCGAACTTCGTTTTACAAACAACAGTAGCTTCCGGTCTGTTCCTGAACCCCCACCGTCCGATTACCACCCAACCGACATGGCAGAACCAGTCCCTTTCTTAGACTTATACATGCGTGCGCTTGCCAAACAGGAGAGATCAGGTTATCCAGTCGCCATATAAATATACCATTCATTTGTTTTGTGTCGTGTTCTTCCCGTAAACCTTCAGTGATTCACTATTATTACCCAGACATAATGGGCCGCATAGTCGCCATCTCCAAACCCTACATGGATACACCAGGCGATGTAATGTCGATGCACCAGCTCATTCTCCTAGAAGATAATTGGCATGTATTCAGTCTTCATGAGTTTTTTGCTCCCCGAATGATGTGTGCTGCTTATATGTGCTTCTTTGCTTTTACCTGCAGCAATAGACAGGTTTTAACCCAAATTGTCGACCACTTGATCATGCATACGCTTGAGCCATTGGTTGTTAGCCAAGAGCGAAACGGCCCTGTCATTGCAACTATGACTTCTATGGTCGGCCACTGTTTAGATGGTAAGCTTTGTGCCAACACTACATACCGCTGCTTTGTCTGTTCCTCAGTTCTTCATTCTTTTGGAGTCAGGGAAAATTTTGTACAAGAATACATGCAGTACAAGGGTCATCGTTGACCAGACCTTACGAATGCATAGGCCCAGCTTTTACAGGTTTGCATCCTTTTACAAAAACCCAGTATTATTTTACATCATATCTTCCACACATTGTTCGCCTTTCGTTTCAATGCAGACATTCGAGTTCGAATATGCCGATCTTCTACATTAGTAAATGGCGCGCCAATGACATTGTCAGACCTGTCCAACGACATGGTCCATGCCACTCGATAGCAGACTTACTTTTCCTGTTGGCTGAGGATGATGCGCTGCACACTGAACCGTTCAACAGTGTATTTTGCCTTACCTTTTACCATGATTCACATACTACTCAAATTACACACCCCTAATCCTTCTTTGTTCTTTATCTATAGGCAACATTTAGGTGCTTGGCGACAATTCAGAAAATCAATCACCAATCTGGATTCTTCATTTGGTTGTGCCCTCAATGCTCACCACAAAAACATAAATTGTTCCCAAATGATGTCTGTTCTAATTGCTCTGCATCCATTGCTCATGATGACAGGATTAAAAGGTACGCACATAAAAGTAATAGTATACTTAGACCGATAGAATCATCAAATTGATTCAGATTTCTCATACAGCCATAAATAGTTTTTATATCTCAGCCGACGTTTGTGACGAGACATTTAAGACTTCATTCTTGATTAGTCATGAAGCAGCTTCTGCATTACTACAAACATTTCCTCTATGGGACCTTGAAGACGCAGATGTTCGGCATCTCCTCCAACCTGTCCTTTACCGCACTTATACGTTTGAGATCAAAATGTTGCCTTGCTGTAGGGATAGGCATGAACGCTTTGAAGTTGTTGCAGTTTGGCATCGTCATGCTGCAGGTGTTCAGGATTGGTTTTAAGCGTCTTAAATATAAGGATTCAGGGTTAGCATTTAGTTTTGTGCAATATTTTTCGCTTCAATGTCTTTGCTTTCCTTAGATCTGCTTTGCAAAAGGCCTTTGCTGTATTTTCGCCACCAGGACTCCAAGATGTTACCTCTTCTGATGTCATTGTAATGAACACATATAGTCTCGCCATTTTGTACGTGCTCCTTCCTATCGCCAAATCTACCTCGGAACCCATGTGACTAAATCATGTGCTTGCTCGCAGACAAAAAAAAAAACAAATACATCACTTGCCAACCTATTGATAC